AATGAGCAAATGAGTGAGCTATGTGTTTTAGGAAACAGTGATTTTTGGTGAGGAGGTACTCTCTCCTCTACTCTATCAAACTCCTCTCCTAGAAATTGGAAACATTTCATGGTAGAAGTACTCTACATCTGTATCAAAGTATCAAGGGATATCCACAGTCTAGTCTTATTTTCTTGCATTGCACCCAAGTTGTTCAATCTTGACCCACCAGAAGACAAGAACTGAAATAGGTTATGAAGGCAGAAATATGTCACCCAAATATTCAGTCTTTATTCTCCTATCCAAGGATTTGTGTGAACCAAATATGTTAGGAACCAAACAGAAGGAAGTGAGACTGAATGAGCCTGTCACATGCTCCTTATATGCTCCTGGTCATTCCAGGGCATAAAAGAAGAGGTACTTAATTTTTTGAATAACCACATCCTGGTTTTAAAGATTATGGATTCAAATGTCAACATGATGATAACTGAATGTTGGTTATGACTAGTTAGCAGCTATCTTTTTCATAAGCAGAATAGTTACCTCAGCTACCTAAAATCCAGATCAACATATACATGAAGTTAGGATTGCTAGACCCCCTCAGTATATGCCACTTGGGGTGGGGGGGAAATGTTTCTTTTTCCTAGTAATGATGGTAGGTTATATTAATTCACCCACTGCTCATTTGCTCATAGGAATTAGAGCCATCATGTTCAACTAAACTATCTGACCTGAATAATGTATCTATTCACTAAAGGTAGAGAATAAGTGAGGAAGAGCATTTAATCAATTCTTACTATTTATAAGCTATTTGAACTCTAAGCTTTGTTTCTTCCTTTTATTAAGTAAGCGCTAAGAGCTAAGTCCTTGTACTAACCATTGGGGAAGAAAAACATCACTTTGAAAGAAATTACAGACTTCGGGAGTATACAAATTTTCCAAAAAAGATTTTATTTATTTTTTAGAGCTAGAGAGTGGGGCTGGGGGGCTGGGAGGGGAGGAAGAGCAGAGTGGAAAGCAGAACCCGGCCCCCTGCCCCAGCGCAGAGCCCAACAGGGGGCTCAATCCCACAACCCTGAGATCATGACCTGAGCCAAAAGCAAGAATCAGATGCTTAACCGACTGAACTACCCAGGTGCCCCAGGAGTATATTAATTTACACATGATTATTAAGGGAAGCATGATATAAATGCCCAAACAGAAGTAAAAAAGAAAATTCTATAGGTATAGGAGAGTAAGAAGGGTTAATTTATCTGAGAGAAGCTGAGGTAAGGTCTCACAGTTTTGACAGACCTTGAGGAGAAAGATTTCAGAAGACAGTAACTGGGGATAAGCATGAATGATTTAGAGAGTAAGGAGTGATCCAGGGTTTAAGTATAAGACTGGCTCTGAGATTGAAAGGTAGGTTGAGCTCAGACTGTGGAAGACCCAAATATTGAATATGGATTAATTCTGAGGCATCAAATTTTCTTAAAGATTTATTTATTTATTTGAGAGAGAATGAGTGGGAGGGGCAGAGGGAGAGAGAATCTTAAGCAGATTCTGCACTGAGCATGGAGCCCTACATGGAGCTCTATCTCATGACCCCAGATCAGGACCTGAACAGAAATCAAGAGTCAGAAGCATTTAACTGACTGCCTGGGTGGTGCCCTGGGTCATCAAAAGTTTCTGAGTAAACTAATTTACAACTCTATTTAGAAAAATAAATAGCAACAGTGTAGAGGATGCATGGGAAGAAAGAAAAGATGCTGATGGGGGAGGTCATAGCAATACTATGGGACCAGACAGAATGGTCCATACTTGAGAGATGTGTAGAGGGCAGGCTTGCTTATTTATTTATTTATTTAATTAAAGATTTTATTTACTTATTTGAGAGACAGAGTACGAGTGGTGGAAGAGGGAGAAGCACTCCTTGCTGAGCGGGGAGCCCGATATGGGGCTTGATCCCAGGACCCTGGGACCAGGACCCGAGCTGAAGGCAGATGTCCAACTGATACTGAGCCACCCAGACGTCCTGAGGGTAGGCTTATTTAGATGGCTCAGTAAGTGACTGACTGGGAAGAGGAGGCGGGCAGAAGGAAGAACTGATTCCAAGTTTTATGGACAAGAAGATTTGGTGCATGGTAATGCATGAAGGGAACTGGGGTAAAGCAGGTTTTTGGTTGGAAAGACAATGGATTCTTTTTTAGCCTTCTTGAATGTGAGTGCCTAAGGGATATTCAAAGAGAGATGTCTGATCTGGCAGGCAACCAGAAGTATGAGGCTGAAGCTTGGGTTAAGAACTGAGAATTAGGGCACCTGGGTGGCTCAGTTGGTTAAGCGACTGCCTTCGGCTCAGGTCATGATCCTGGAGTCCTGGGATCGAGTCCCACATCGGGCTCCCTGCTCAGTGGGGGGGTCTGCTTCTCCCTCTGACCCTCTTCCCTCTCGTACTATCTCTCATTCTCTCTCTCTTGAATAAATAAATAAAATCTTTAAAAAAAAAAAGAACTGAGAATTAAAATCTAGTTTGGGGGTTCACCTCTTAGAGTCATGGAAAGAGGTGAGATTTCACAAGGAGAGAGAAAAAAACAGGAGGGCAGAGATCAGGAAGAAAAGTGGACAAGAACAGAACCATCTCAGGCAAAAGGGAGCAAGAGAGACTAACAAAAGTGGAACTCAAGCCAATTAACTTTGTCTCCTGTAAATAACTGAGAAAAAGATTTAAGAGGACACAGCATTAGAGCATTATTTCCATTATCTATGTGCTCCCTGACCCTGCCCAGCTAGTTGAGATTCAGTCCAGTTCTCTAAAATTTAATTACGGAACCAAAGATTCACACAATTTGTACCTACTATATTTATCTGTCTTACGGAGGTACTAATTTGTTAGCTCTGAAGTATACACTCTTTCTTGTAGACTCTTGCTCCTAAAGCGATTTCTAGCATCCCTTCCATATTTCTCAGAGCTTCCTTCCAGAGATCCAATTATGTAACTTCCCGATTAAAGCCTTATCCATGTTAAAGCTGAAATTATGTTAACGATAACTATAACGTAGTTTCAAACTAATTTTGTTATTCCTTAAGCTAAAGTAGACAAAACCTTTTTTTTAACATTTTTTGAAAATATTAGACAAAACTTTTTTAAAGTAAACTATTCATGTTTCTAATATGGATAAAGGATGGTTATTTAGAAACAGCTATAAAACCAAGGGCAGGTCTGTTTTACTAAGCAGTCCATTAAGTGACAAATGACTATTTAATCAGGAAGTTTTAAAGGGCACCTAAAAAAGCCCAGGTCAATCTTAGACACTCCCCCTCCACCCCCCATCTTCCTATACCATTAACAATCAGGCTGCCTGCCCTATGCTATTAGAGATCTAGAAGGATCTTTCTTTATATGAGGAGTCTTTCTCTACTCTGACCAGCCACAAAGTGATAGGCTTGTTCTGACCCATCTCCTGCCAGACATTTATGAGAAAAAAGTCTCTCACCAGATCCTTACACATAATCAGCATTTTTGTTTGCTGCAATCCCAGTCATTTCCTACCTTAGGCCAGTTTCGACATGCACCAGGCTTTTGCACTGAATCGACATTGTGTGTGCTGGCATGACATCAGCCGTCCTGCCCCTAACAGGGTCTCTGAGGAGGAAGCTTACAATGGTGCTTTGAGTCACAACAAAACCCCTTCCTCTCTATTTAGGATTTCTGACATTTTTTCCCTTCCACTTAAAATTCTTCTTCCCATTTAAATTAAAAAAATTTTTTTTTCTTTTTTTATTAAGACCATAAAGGATAAAGAGGGAGTTGGCAGGCCTAGAGGACTAAAAATTGAGAGGGATGAGAGTTTAAGGAAAGTCATAAAACTGCTTTGTGGTTACATCTTTTGCCAACTGGTTTCAACATTAAAATAGAGCTAAAACTCATGCACAGGAAAGGCTTCTAGGTTTGCAAACCTTTACAAATTCTTACTACATCCTTGACATAGATGATCCTTTAAACACCCAAGAACTTTTCTAGGTTGGAAAGCTCCAGCCACTGCAAGTTACGGGAAAAGATAAACTAAGTCACGTCAAACATAACTGAAGATTATAGGACGAGTTATCGAATTTTTCTCTCAGAAAGGTCTTATACCATTACTTCACACATGCAGGGATTTGGGCCAAATATTTAGCTTAAAAAATTTCAGCTTTCCCATCTAGATGGAATCTAGAGAAAATGATGGCTTTGCTTCCTGTCAGATCTGTTTATTTCATTATAATGACTGTTGTAACAAACCATCCCCATGTACAAAGCCAGATTCGCAGGAAAGTATGAGAAAACTGGAAAAATTTACCAGTTCTGCCGCCCCTGGATTGTGTTATAAGTCACCAGCATATGTAACTCATTTTCTAGTTAAGTAATTCCCTCTGGGTACCCAGTCTGCAATCCACACGAAGGATCAAATTTCATTAGCAGTTGTAGGAAAATGCAACCCTGAGCATTTGCAAGTCAAAACTCCTGAAGGCTACAGCTAATCTGGCTATCCTCATTGATTTTTCCTGGGAGAGGATTTTAGCTGATAGAAAACATTTGTTGGAAGGCACAGATGAGGAAGTTGAGAAGAGAAGGAGTCAGCTAGCAAAGAGACAACTAAGTCTCAGTCTTAATGTTAAACTCTGGCCTTAACACAGCCTGCAGCTGTGTCCAAGCAGAGAGAGATTCAGCAGTAATCCCACCCCCCAAAGCTACAAATGACAAAAGGCACAGGAAGACAAATTAAAAGGGCAAGCGTATAAAAACACAAAATCTAATCGTCACCAAACTCTTCATTTCTAGATGTTAACCTGAATCCCAGTGTGTGCTTGATTTCACGTGAAACTGGGTCACAGATCCGCAAAATTTTAGCATCTATGTAAATAATTCGAGACTTCTCGTTAATTCATTTAATTTTGAATCAAAAGACATACTGGCCACCACTCAAACTGTCTAGATCAGAAAAACAGCTTTGTTTAATCGCTTGAATCGGCTTTCTCAAGCCTGCCACCAGCCCAGTCCTTACCTTGGTTTGAGTTGGTTCACCTTTCTCAAACATCATCTTAAGCCTGTTCAGCGGAACATTGTATTTCTCTATTTTGTTTGCGGCTTCTGTGTTTTCACTGATTTCAGGTTTTCCTACTTCATGCCTGGATTCTCCTAGACAATTTTCCATTTTTTTACTTTCTTTCGAGTGGTCTTTAAGTCGCTCGCTGCCCTCAATGCGGAGATTCGGCCACTGAGTAAGGGCTTCAGAAGGTGATCCGAGTCTAGGTTTGGGGTGGACTTTTTCTTCCTGGTCAGCTTCGGCCTCAGGGGCAGAGCTTCTAGCCACTTCACCGGCAGGATGGTTGCCTCCGTGTCTGACCTCAGAGCTGCCGTTTCGCAGGGAGTCTGTGTGAGACTCTGTTCCCGGGGCTGGGTTCTCCCACTTCTTCTTTAACACAGTCAGGATCCCCCTCCTGCAGTGCTGGGGGAGATTTTCAGTGTTCTAGAAGGGAAAGAAGTAAGTGCCAGTTATAACTTGCCTGTTGAAACATTCAAACATGTTGTTCTTTGTAAAGTGAAAGTTAAAACTCTAAGCTGCTCCTGGTCCACGGGCGTTTCAGACAGCTGTGAACAGTTACAGCCCTGCCACATGGAGAAAGCATCCACCCCGGGAGAGGGGAAAAGAGACAAAGTCAGGAGCTGAAGCAGGAAGTGATAAAACAGGATAGCCTTATAAGGACAAAATGAGGAGAAAAGAGAGCCGAGATCTAATGATAGTTACATTGGAGACAAGGGATTTTTATCCAAAGATTAATAAGGAAAAGAAAGAGGAAGCAAAATACTAGGTACTTTAAACACCGCAGATATGCACTAATACAAGTTGATCATTACATACCACAAAATTACATGGGGAATCCTGCTGGGGTTTTTTTTCTTTTAATATGACAAAGACTCAGTATAGCTGAAACTATGCAATACCGTAATTGTGGATAGTATCATCAAGGATTGAAAGTATTTGTAGAAATTTAGAGAACTCACCAGACTTTTACATGTATTTACATAAATGATATCTCATCATACCTGCCATAATCTACATGCATATGAACAAGTTTTATTTTTACATAAGAACCTAATCCTCTTTTTTTCTTCTGCTCTTCTCTACACGTTTGTCCATGTGTAAATTCTCAGTTATCAGAAAATTTACTATTTCACAGATCCTCTGGTAGAAAAATATCCAGGCTTCATATGAAAACACTACCACCCACTTTCTTGATTGAAGGACACACATTTATACATCTAAGAGAGGTCACTTTCACCTGGGTCAAAACAGAATTAATTTATACACATATGATTGCAAACAACCTGGAACCTGCTTCCACAATAACAGAGGAAACATGCTTGATGAAGTAAAATTCAATGTCCCATACTCTGAAAGCCTTCCTATAAATAAGCTGAGCAGCACCAACTCCCAACAAGCCACGAACTCCAATACCTTCGTGCCCTCCGTTCCTGTGGTCTGTGACTCACCCGTCTTTCAACTAAGAAAGAAAGGACAAACCACCTAGGACTGAAAGACTTCCGGGAATTAAACAGGATTAGCAGCTATATTGGGAATTAAGTCTCTCACCCTATTACTCTTCGCTGAATTCCCCTGAATACATAGCACCAAGGTCTGAAAAAAAAACTTACAGAGGACAACTGCTTGATTTTAGTATTTAAATCTTTACTGACAAGATGATTCACTGGTGGAAGAATGAATGGATCAGATACAAGAAGCATGAAAAGTTTTCTTGCTAGAAAAGAAGAATTAAACTGCTCTGGACGCTGGTGCTGCCTTATCGCTGGCAGCATGCTTTGCTGGATGCTACCTCCTGCCACACAATGGATGAGTCATCTGGGTCTCCAACTGCACCTGCCCTGCCCTTGCCCAGCCTAAACAGGAGCCCTGACACTCTAAGTGGCATTTTTGCCTTGGTAACTGGACACTACTTTTCTCAGTAATCGTGTGATCCAAGTATACTGACATGGGAAGATGCTCATAAGATACCTTTGAGGGGAAAAAGCAAATTTTAAGACCACAGGGATGCCTGGGTGGCTCAGTTGGTTAAGCGTCTGCCTTTGGCTCAGGCCATGATCCCGGAGTCCTGGGATGGAGCCCTGCATTGGCATCGGGTTCCCTGCTCAGCGGGAGCCTGCTTCTCTCTCTGCTGCCGCTCCACCTGCTTGTGCTCTATCTCTCTCTGACAAATAAATAAAACCTTTAAAAAAAATTTTAAGACCACATAATCCCATTTTATAATACAAATGTATATTTATAAACACAGAAAAGTAGTCTGGAAGAAAAGACATCAGGATGTTAACGTTACCTTTGGATCGTGGATTATGGGCATCTACATTTTTTTTTCTTCCTTTTTACAATAAGTGTATATTCATTATGTAACACAAATGAATAAAAAATAGAACTATACATCATCTTCCTATCACAAAAATCTACAGAATATTAAAACATTCTGATGTTACTATAAGCAGCTGGAAAATGATCATTTCTAATTTACTTGTGATGACCAGGAAGAGAGGGATCTGTGGAATGGAGTACCGGCAGTGACCCAAAAAGGGCCTGGGTGGAGGAAATCCCTTAGGGGGCATTGTAACAAGGAGTAAGTGTGCTCTTTTATTCAAAAGAGTTCTTAAGGGTACATGTTCAAAAGTGTTTAAGTGGGGACAAAAAGGGCTGTCCAGCCTGACAACATGAAATGCCCCACACCCTGCAATCACTCCTGGCAGCATCCCAAGGCAATGCCAGGCACGCAGGGCTTTAGGACCCAAGGAGAGAAAAATGGGGAAGAAGCAGTGATTCCAGTCCTTCTGGGGAAGGAAAAGCAAGAAGGTACAGAACCGAAGCAATAGCTAAAAGCAGTCTGGACCGCAAAGTGGCAAGAGTATTATATTGAGATGGCCTGGGTTGTCATTGGAGAAGGGATTACAAGCCACTTCTATTTTCTACAATGAACATGTGTTACTCGTCTACTCCAGCCCCACCCAGACAAGTGACCTTTGGGCAAGTTTAACTTCTGGAACCTACCATACTTGGCTATTGTGGAGAACAGATGTGCCTATATTAAAGCATGTAGTGTAGTATTTGACATAAATAGGCACCCAGTAAGTGGTGACAATTAATATTAAGTGGGTAGTCCTCCCTACTCCTCCAGCCACACCTCATGATGATCAACCACAGTACCGTCATCTCTCAAATCCTGAACTTGGGTTACAGTCTCTTCCTGCTCTTTCTATTCTCTCTATAGTCTCCACTGTTCCAGAGTGGGGGTGTAGGGCACACAATAAGGTGAAATTCTAGTTGGTTTTAACTTTTTCCCAAGTATTTTCCTAGAAGAGGCATGGGAAGTCATGGAGGCTGCAAGTTTTCAAGGGTTGGTGCACGACCACAGCCTCCTCTCAAACGTGACATCCAGCACACTGTTCGTTCTTCCCAGCAAGGCTGGGAATCTTGGCAGATTTGCCTCTGGACCATAACTGGCTTCCTGAATCCAGATTAGATACAACCTGGAAATGCAACACTGTGTTTTTTCTGCAGGAGCACTTAACTTGGAGTTGGGATGTGTCCCAGCACTGTCCATCTGAGATGTATGACCATGGATAAGTTCTTTCCTCTCTTTGGGTCTCTGTTATTCCACCATAAAAATGTAGAGGCTGGGTCAAATGAGCTTTAGTGCTGAAATCTTGGCAGGGGTATCTTCATCTTAAAAGCTGAGGATGTTGGGTAGGAGACAGCAGTGCAGCTGCAAACATGGACTACCAGGATGTACAGCCCCCAAGGAAGGGAAGAGCTTCTCAGAAAAGTGGTAGCCAGTCATTACAGAGATGAGTGCCCAAATTGTACAGATTTCAAGAAGTGGCATATTGCATGCTTGGAAAGGAACCTGAAAATATAACTGATGGCAGTATTAATGGTGTTTCTGTTTCCTAGATATAAGTGGAAGAGGAAGAAAAAGGGAAAAGTAAATTTCTGGAAAACTAGGCTACCATGTAACCTGATCCCACTATTTACTGAAGGAATAAATGTACCCACTTGCTTCTGAATGTTTCTCTAACTTGCTTTCCACGGCAGAATGTAGTATTTCATCTGGTCAGTCGCTTTTTTTTTAAAGATTTTATTTATTTATTTGACAGAGAGAGAGAGAGCACAAGCAGGGGAAATGGTAGGCAGAGGGAGAGGGAGAAGAGGGCTCCGCAAGGAGCAGGGAGCCTGATGTGGGGCTCGATCCCAGGACCCTGGGATCATGACCTGAGCAGAAGGCAATCACTTAACCAACTGAGCCACCCAGGCGCCCCCTGGTCAGTCACTTCTATAAATTTATATGGATATTTCTCCCCATTCTTCAGGAGACAATTCAGGCTTCTGGTGGATCTTAAAAGCAACCCTCTGTCATTAGTGGAAAAATGGTGGATCTGAATAAATTCTATAGTTTAGTTAACAGCATTGCACCAGTTAATTTCTTAGTTTTGATAAATGTTTGAGAGTTATGCAAGATGTTAACATTAGGGGGAGGTAGGTGGAGATACATGGAACTGTCTGTACTACCTTAAGAACTCTACTGTAAATCCGAAATTATTTCAAAATAAAAAGTTTGCTAAAAAAAAGTAATGCTCCCTCAACTTTGTATGTTCCTCTAGCTATTGTTGTCTCTTGCATTTTATAGTTAAGGGTCTTGAAAGCACTGTCTGTATTTGCTGTTTCCACTTGCTCGCTCTCCATTCATGCTAACTCTACCGCCCAAACATTTCTGAAGTAGCTCTAGTCAAGATCACTCATTACCTCTTTAATGTTTTCATTTTATTATCTTATTTTTAACTTACTATTTTCTCAATTACAAAAGTAATAAAAGGGGTGCCTGGGTAGCTCAGTCTGTTAAGCGTCTGACCCTTGATTTCGGCTCAGGTCATGATCTCAGGGTTTTGGGATTGAGCCCAGAGTCAGGCCTTGCGCTGGGCATGGAGCCTGCTTGAGATTCTCTCTCTTCCTCTCCCTCTGCCTTTCATCCCCCCTCAGTCACTCTCAGTCTTAAAAAAAAAAAAAAAGTAATTAAAAAACTTACTGGGGGGAAGAAAAGTCACAATCAATATAGGAATGTATACATGCCTTGAATATAATTTTCCCTATTTGACTTCCCTAACCCTTCCCATCAAGATACCCACTGTCATCAGTTTGGTGCATACACTCTCAACTTTTTCCCCCTTTTTTATATACTATATATATTTTTTAGATATTATAAATATATATATTTACATAGGAAGATATAAAAAAGACATTATGTGTTTTAAAAGCAAGATCCAGAACAGTATAGTATGGTTACTATACCGTCACTACCAGTGTATGAGAGTTCATATTTCCTCACATACTGAATATTAGCTAATAAAAAAAATCTGCCAACTGTTTAGATTACAACTTATATCTCACGGTTACTTTAATTTACATTTTTTTGTTATTAGCGAGACTAAGCATTTTTTCATACGTGTATTATTTCTTCTTTAATTACCTGTTCACATCCTTTTACCTCAACTCGCAAATGCAATGGACACTTCTGCTTTATTTATTTGATATCTCTATAGCATTTGACACTACTGACCACCCCCCCTTTTAAAAATTCCTTCCTTTCATGGTTAGTGTGAGATACCCCTTTTTTTCTAGATTTCTTCCCATTTCTTTGGCCACTCCTCAATCTTCTTTACGGGTTTCTCTTCCTCTGTTCCCCCTTCTCCCTGCACCACATGCTGGGGTCCCTCAAGATTCCATCTTAAGTCCTCTTTGCTCACTTACCTATTCCCTGTAGATGATGTCATCTACCTTCTGGTTTTACCCACCAGTTGCCTATTGATGACTCATACCCTATAAGTCTAGGTAGATCTCTCTCCTTACTTGGAATTCCACCTGGGAATCCTACAGGCATCTTAAACTCATCCTTGTCTAAGGCTGAAGTCTCCTTTCTCCTCTTTTTACCCCTCACCCTTTAATCTGTTTCTTTTCCTGAGTCTTCCATCTTGGTGAATGTGACAATTATCTTTTCAAACATCAAATGTGCCTGTTCTCATGTCTCCACGCTGTGCATGCGTTACTTCCTCTGCCACTTCTTTGCTTCCTTTGCTTAGTTAATTCCTACCTGTCCTTTGGATTTAGTCAGGTACCACTTCTGGGAAGCCTTCCTTGACATGGCATAGTCCAGGTTATGAGTTCCTCCTAAATCCTCCCCCAGCACCACAAGTATTTCTCCAACATGGTACTAATTGCACTGGGATTATAGACTCTATTTTCCAAACTCAAACAGTCCCTTGAAGGCAAGGACCACATCTTATTCTCTTTGTGTCTTCAGCACCTGGCACCTAAGAGATGCTCCACACTCGCAGAAATCTATCTACGCTGTCTTGAACCTACTCCAGTCAGGCCTTTATCCCGCCACTCCCAAACAGCACAAGATGACCAATGACCTTCATCTTGCCAAATCCAGTGGTCAGTTCCCAGCTTCTCTGTGTGTTTGACTCTGCTAATAACTCTCCTTTTAGAAGCATTTTCTTCATTTGGCTTCCAGCACCCATTCTCTTGTTTCTACTGCTGTTTCACCAGTTGCTCCTGCCCAGGCTCTTTTGCTGGTTCCTTCTTGTCTATCTAACTTTGAATCAAGGTGCTCCTGAGCTCAGTCCTCAGACCTCTTCTCTTCTATCTAAATTCACTCCCTAAGTGATCTCATACATCTCATGTCTTTAAATACCACTGATCCTTTGATACACACACATCTTATCGCTAGCCCGCATCTCTTCCAGTTCCAGATTTATATATACAAGTTCTTTTTTTTTTAAAGATTTTATTTATTTATTTGAGAGAGAGAACGAGAGAGAGAGCACATGAGAGGAGGGAGGGTCAGAGGGAGAAGCAGACTCCCTGAGGAGCAGGGAGCCCGATGCAGGACGCGATCCAGGGACTCCAGGATCATGACCTGAGCCGAAGGCAGTAGCTTAACCAACTGAGCCACCCAGGCGCCCTATACAAGTTCTTATATAACATCTCTACTTGGATGTCTTTAAGGCATTTCATATTTAACATGCTCCAAACTAGGCTGTTACCATGTCCCTTCTCTAAACCCGCTTTTACTATACCCTTCTCCATTTCAATTAATGGCATTTTTCCAGGTGTTTGAGCACAAACCACTGTTGCCATTCACGGTTCTTCTCTTTTTCTACTTTCACTATAAATCCTGACCACTTCTCATCACCTATATATCTACTACTCCAGTCCAATCCATTATCATCTCTTGTCTAAACACTGAAATTGTCTTGCAATTTGTCTCCATGTTTCTGCCATTGTTCCTATAGTCTCTTCCTCCTCTTTTTAAAATTTAAGTCAGATCACATCACTCCTTTGCATACAAACCCTCCAAAGGCGCCCATGTGATCAGAGTTAAAGCCCAGGTCCTCACAGTGGCTCTCTATGACTTTGCTTTTCCTACTCCTCAAACACATTAAGAATGTACCTGCCTCAGGGCATTTGCATATGCTCTTCCTTCCACCTGAATCATTCTTCTCCCTGGTTTAAACCTCAGATCTCTGCTCCAACGTCCCCTCATCAAAGGCTTTTCTGAGGCTTTTCTGGACCACCCTACATTCTATCCCTCTTACCCACTTTACATTGTTTCTTAGCACTAATCACTGACACGATTTCTTTATTGTTCATCTGTCCCACTATCATGTAAACTCCATGATGGCCAAAATGTAGTCTGTATTCGTGCCTAAAACAGTGCTTGGCGCATTGTAGGTGATCGGTGAATACTTGCTAAATGAATAAATGAAAGAAGGAAGGAGGAAAGGAGGCAGGGGAAAAATAACAGGCAGGAGACAGAGGAGGAGGAAAGAAAAGAAACCAACCTTTGAGTGAAATGATGGTAGCTTTTGCTTACAGTGTGCCAGAGGGGATCCATTTTTTAATTATAGGACAATTAAGCCAAAGACCTGGTCAGCATTACCCCCTTAGAGAGAACAAATTGACAGGGGCATGTTATGTACTAATTTAAATAGGCTGGATACTAAAAACTGCCAGGAGATTTTTGCAATGCCAGTCAAAGTAAAGAATTCTTACCCAAATACATGAGTTTCTTTCCCTCATAAGATTAAATCAAGTAAGATTTCAAAAGAAATACACTCTCCAGCCCAGCTGGAGGCTAGTCAGCGGGGAGAGTACTGAATGGTTACGAGTGGAGAGCTTGTTCTAAGGTGCCTTCGATGGATCCTGCAGCTGAGAAATTTGCTAACTAGAGTGGGTCAAGAAGTGTGCTTTAAAGAAAGAACCCAGGGGATGACAACAGCTGCACAGCTGCTACCATTTAAATGCAGAAATATAGAAATTCTAGTTGTTTGGTTTGGAACAAGGGCTGAAGCCTAGGGGACCCTGTATTCTAATGTGAGCAGAAGTAGTAAGCCATTTTACTAACCTCAGGCAAAGCACTTGGCCTTCTATCTTTCACTCAACTCAGGGAAGAAAGAAAGGGTTCAAGAGGAGAGCTTCGGTGGAAAAATAAGATTCCTTGCACCCGAGCCACATTCTCTTGAGTAAGTGGCGCACAAATCAGAGCAGCTGACACCCATGCCCAGGCTCAGCTGACATGGAGCCCAAGCCCCATGGAGGCTGCAGGTGGCTGGGCCACACAGGCTCCGCTTGGGAAGCTCCATAGGCCCTGGGGCTTCTCAATACTTACACTTCTCCTCTTTTCCATGTTTGCTTCTTCAGCTGCTTTCTGGTACCTTCAGAGAAGAGGGGGAGAGAATGTCCTCAAATTAAATTTATATTTTTACTTTTTAAACCTTTAAGAAAACCACTTCTGCCTACATATTTCTGCCAGCAAGTGTCTTTAATCAACTCTATCAGAAGAAACACAAAATCAGAGTGGCTCTCACTTCTGGCACTGTTCCAGTCATCTGATCTGGTCTATTGGAAAGGTCCAAGGCGAGGAGGCCAAATGCTGGGAAATAACTAGGTAGAGCAGAAAGTCTGGGGTTTAAGTCCTACTTTAATCACTCATTAACTGTGATCTCTGGCAAGTCTCAGTTTCTTTATCTAGAAAATGGCTTTATATGTTTACTTTCCAGGTTGCTGTGAAGACTGAGATCACATGTATAAAAATGCTTTGGAATTAGTCAAAAGATATAACATTGCATTGATCCGAGGATGCACATTTCCCCCACATTAATACCTCTGTAATCTTGTAAATCTTGCCAAATGAAGGAGAGGTAGTCATACTGCCTGGTCATGTGTGAATTTAATCTAAGTTGTTGGTATTGTCACTTTAGCTCAATGTATTTGATGGTATTGCACGTTTTAAATGCCACTTAAAATGTCTTTAAAGAAATTACACTATGATTTGGTATTTAAAGAAAAACTATTTTACTGTGTTAGGTATGTATAAGGGTGATACATGAGAAAAGTTTATGTGCTAAGCAAGCATTAGTCCTTTTAATTGGCAGCATTTTTTCTTAGTGACACATAAAATACTGGCAAGGCTACAGTGGATGGCATCTTAGATTTGATAAACAGGCATGTATGATTTATTTTTTTTTAAAGATTTTATTTTGTTTTTTGACAGAGAGACAGCGAGAGAGGGAACACAAGCAGGGGGAGTGGGAGAGGGAGAAGCAGGCTTCCCGCAGAGCAGGGAGCCCGATGCGGGGCTCGATCCGAGGACCCTGGGATCATGACCTGAGCCGAAGGCAGATGCTTAACGACTGAGCCACCCAGGTGCCCTGGCATGTATGATTTAATTATTTTAATTTTATTATTACTTTTATCATTTTTATTACTTGGATCAGAAGATCCCTGAGAAACAACTGAAGTCCCAGAGGTTTTCAGGGGAGATCAGGTTTTCTCCATTTGAAGCTAAAGATGGGCTGGGAGGTCTAGACTGCAGCAAATCCCCAGACCACCCAGAATAACCTTCACCTGGCTTCCTCAGGGCCTCTGAGTCAAGCAAGGAAAGGGCCATCACCCAGAGAATCCCCACCCCATGACTCTCCTTGAGCCTATGTGCCTACAACTCAGCACCAATCCTACCCTAGAAGAGGGCCATTTGTTCTTTATCTTAGGGTAGAAGTTCTGAATTCACAAGACATTTGGGGAAGGAAAAGGAGGTGAAACAAAAAGATAAAAAGCAGAATGGAGAAGGGCCCATGCCTCTACCAAAACCAACTTTCAATTCAAAAATACCTTCGTAAGGGTGCCTGGGTGGCTCAGTTGGTTAAGCGACTGCCTTCGGCTCAGGTCATGATCCAGGAGTCCCTGGATCGAGTCTCGCATCGGGCTCCCTGCTCGGTGGAGAGTCTGCTTCTCCCTCTGACCCTCCCCCCTCTCATGTGCTCTCTCTCTCTCTCATTCTCTCTGTCTCAAATAAATAAATAAATAAATAAATCTTTAAATAAAAAAAAAATACCTTCGTAAGTTCAGAACTTTTTTAGTGTGTGTTAAATAGAATAACCTTATTCAAAATGAAGGCCAGAAAAATGCCCTGGTTCTGGCATATATATATTTCAAATATAGTCAAAGGCTTCTCAACAAGGGTGCCACCACTGCTTACCTGCTATGTAACCTGGGTTATATGACTCCATTTACTTGGGCCTCATCTATGAAATTAAATGACTATGTGAGAAGATTTCTAAGGTCTCTTCCAGTTCTGTCACTGTTTAAATTTTAACAATCAGATACTAATAAGCGTCTCATTCACCAGGCTGGGAATCACTCTGCAACTAAGCAGAGCTTTCTAATAAAGTAGGTTGAAAGACATCCTTTTTTTTTTTTTTTTTAAGATTTTTTACTTATTTATTTGACAGAGAGAGACACAGTGAGAGAGGGAACACAAGCAGGAGGAGTGGGAGAGGGAGAAGTAGGCTTCCTGCTGAGCAGGGAGCCTGATGCGGGGCTGATCCCAGGACCCTGAGATCATGACCTGAGCTGAAGGTAGACGCTTAACGACTGAGCCACCCAGGAGCCCCGGGTGAAAGACTTCCAAAAATCTCTGGTATTTCATTGACCATAAATAGGTTATGGAAGATAATGGGCAAGTGACAAGCTGGAAAGATACCTTGCAACTTATATTACAGACCAAAGGCTAATTTTCCTAAATTAAAAAGAACTCTTATAAGTCAATAAGAAAACCACAAACAACTTAGTAAAAAATTGGCCCAGATACAAACATACAGTTCACAAAAAGGATATCAAATGGCTCTTAAACAAAAAAGATGTTCAATTTCAAAATGAAAATTCAAACACTAAAATTCTTTACCTATGAAGTAGGAAAATATTTTTTTTTTTTAAGGCTAATATACTGAGATACCTGGGTGGCTCAGTTGGTTGAGCATCTGCCTTCAGCTTGGGTCATGATCCCAGGGTCCTGGGATCAAGTCCTACATCAGGCTCCTTGCTCAGCAGGGAGCCTGCTTCTCCCTCTGCCTGCCACTCTCCCTGCTTGTGCATGTGCTCTTGCTCTGACAAATAAATAAAATCTAAAAAAAAAAGCTAATATCCTGAGGGTAAATTAATAAAACATCTATGGAAGGCATTTGGTCAATTTTACAAAAATCACAAAAGCACAAATGTTGTGATTCATCAATTTTGTTTCAGAATTTGTCCTGTAGATATATTCACACAAGCAAAAATGACTTTTATGTTAGATTATTTGTCATAGCATTAATTGTAATAACAAAAGACTGAAAACAAGCTGAATGTCCATTAGCAGAGGATTGGTAAAGAAATGACAATGTAGGGGCGCCTGGGTGGCTCAGTCGGTTAAGCGACTGCCTTCGGCTCAGGTCATGATCCTGAAGTCCTGGGATTGAGTCCTGTGTCGGGCTCCCTGCTCAGCAGGGAGTCTGCTTCTCCCTCTGACCTTCCCCCCTCTCATCCTCTATCTCATTCTCTCTCTCAAATAAATAAATAAAATCTTAAAAAAAAAAAAAGAAATGACAATGTATTCCTGTATGGAATACTATGCAGCTATAAAAAGAAAAAAGGATGGTGGTGACGGCTGCAAAACAATGTGAATGTTCTTAATGCACTGAACTGTATACTTAAAAATGGCTAAAATGATAAATTATATGTTATGTATATTTTGCCACAATTTAAAAAACACAATAAAACAGTGATATTGGCATACAGACAGGCATATAGATCAATGGAATGGAACAGAGCCCAGAAATAAACCCTCACATATATAGGCAAAGGCTTCTCAACAAAGGTGCCAAGACCATCTAACAGGGAAAGGACAGTCTTTTCAACAAGTGATGCTGGGAAAACTGGATATCCAGATGCAAAAAAAGAAATGAAGTTGGACCCTTACCTAACACCATATGCAAAATTAAGTCAAAATGGATTAAAGATCTAAGTGTAAGAACTAAAACTATAAAACTCTTAGAAGAAAATAGAGACAAAAAAAAAAAAAGAAGAAGAAAATAGAGACCAAGCTTCATGACACTGACTTTGGCAATGATTTCTTGGAATAAAAGCATAGGCAACAAAAGAAAAAGTAGACAAACTCAACTTTAACAAAGTCTGTGCATCAAAGGAAACCATCAACAGAGTGAAATGGCAATCCATGGAATGAAAGAAAATATTCATGAATCATATATCTGATAAGGGATTAACATCCAAAATACACAAATTTTTAAAAAATAACAAATATGGGGGGCACCTGAGTGGCTCAGTCATTAGGCGTCTGCCTTCGGCTCAGGTCGTGGTCCCAGGGTCCTGGGATCAAGCCCCACATCAGGCTCTCTGCTCAGCGGGAAGCCTGCTTCTCCCTCTCCCACTCCCCCTGCTTGTGTTTCCTCTCACGCTCTGTCAAATAAATAAAATCTTTAAAATAAAAATATGGGATAATATTATACATACTATTCTTTTTTTTAAAGACTTATTTATTTTAGTGGGGGAGGGGCAGAGGGAGAGGGAGAGAACCTCAAGCAGACTCCCGCTGAGCATGGAGCCCAACACAGGGCTTGATCCCAGGACCCTGAGATTGTGACCTGACCCAAAACCAAGAGTCCAGTGCTCAACCGACTGAGGCACCCAGGCACCCCTGTACATACTATTCTGCATCTCCCTTTCTCCAGTTTAGAACAGCTGAATTTTCATTCAAGCAATATGTTCTAAGCACTAGGAGAAAAGTAGTAAAAGAAATAACCCAAAGAGATATAGTTCCTGCTTCAGACAGCTTATAGTTTAGACATTAAACACATAAGCACATGAATATATATATATATACACACGCACATACACATATATGTGTACATATATATAACAGTCCTTCAAAGAAAAAGAACACAGTATTATGAAACAACCTAACAAAGGAACCAAATTGAGAAGGCAGTGGGTGGGGGGGGTGTGTGTGTGTGTGTTGTTAAGTATGAAGGAAAGTCTTGTTGAAAAAATGACCTTTAGACTGAGATCCAGTTTGACCAGAGGAGTTAGCCAGGCAAAACAAGGAGGGAAAAGCATTCCAGGCACAGAAAACTAGCACATGCAAAGGCCCCAAGGCAAGAACGTGTCTCAGGTGTATAAGGTACACAAAGAACGCCAGTGTTGCTGGAGCACAGTGAGAAAGGGAGAGGGCAAGAGATGGTGTGGGGAGGGAGACAGGGGCTTTGTGGGCCGTGGTGAGCATTTTGAATATAATCCTAGGTACAAGGAATGGTCACTGATCCAATTCATGTTTTTAAAAGAGTGCTCCACAAAAATAAACTCAAAATGGCTGAAAGCCCTA